CCAAACATCCACGAGCGTCTCTTCTTCTCTCCTTCTCCATGTGTGTATTTACAGATGTTCTATGTTTATCTGCTGCTAAATGCATGGATGAGGTCAGACGTAGGAACCAGACGGCGGGCGGCCTTCCCGTCCACATCTGCGGCCGGGCGCGTTCGCTCAGAAAGAGCCGAGGCCTCAAACGTGGAAAAGAGCTGCTTTGTGTTTACAAGAGCTTCTCTGACTGACCCAGCTTCCTAATTGGATGGTATTACATAAGCTGGAGTTCCCCAGTGCCCTTAAAAAGGATGCAGCGCATGAGGCTGGCGCTCTATTAGAGCAGCAAATGTTAAGCAGCGGGATGAAAAAGAAGGAAAATGTCTTTTTGTTTTGAGTTGCACTGATGGATCTGCAAAGCAGCTTCCTGTCAGGTTGTTGTTTTTTTTAAAGCGTCAAGCCTGATTGCGTCCGGTTTTAATTGGCAGCAGCGTTTTTCTCAGTGGACAGTGGATGTTTTCCCAGGAAAAAATTTAAAACATGCAGGTTTGGACGTTATTACCACTTATTAAACACATTTAAACTGTTTATTTTCAGACAAAATGCTGCAATAATTGTGGAAAACTGACGTTGAGTAAGTGTAAAACGATGCTGCAAAGAAGTTTTAGGCTTTCATCATCATTTTTTCTGGAGTTTCTGAACAATTTGTAAATGAAAAAGGAGTTTTTGGAAGGCGATGAACCTTTTTTGTCCTAAATTTCAAATCTCTGCTTATTCTTTTTGCCTATAATAATTGTACAAATTTCTTTAAATGTCCTGTGACCCGTTTATCCATAACAACTGGAACCTTCAATATCTAACAAGTTATTCTCACAACTTGTCGTACATTTGAAAGAGTGTTTCATCAGATTAATTTCACTCTCTGCTGCGGCGGGAGTGAAATTACCGTAATAACCCGATATTGGCTGGAAAGCGCAACGTCTCCCCTTTCAGAAACTGAAAAAACTTTTCAGGTAGTGCAAATTCTGCTGGATCGTCGCTGAAAAGTTCGGCCTAGAAGGGTTAAACGCATTAAACTGCTTTTTTAGACAGAATGCTGCAATAATTGTGCAAAATAAGTGTAAAGAGATTTAAAACTGAAAGATTTACAGGACATCACACATTTTTGTGAAGATTTGCGTGTCAAACTTAAGGCCTGGGGGCCAAATCCGGCCCGCTGTGCGTTTTTATGAGGCCCAATAAACTCTAGGGACACATAAACTGAGCTTTCAAGATTACAGTTGTGTACTTAAATTTTATTTTATCAACCAAATCAAAGCAGTTCTTATCTGTATTCTGCCAGATTACATCAATTTGAAGAGATGTTCAACATTATTTTGCTTTTAGAAGCATTTATCGAATACCGTGACAGCTGTTATTAACATTTTGACAATTTGTTAATGGATTTTATCGATACATTCTGGCACAACTGGCCCTTTAAGAACATTTATGATCCTGATGTGGCCCAAAATGAAGAGTTTGACTGTCCTCATTTTAAAAAAAGACTGAAAATGGACCCAGAAGATAAAATAAAAACAGAATACCTGTAGGCAACTAAAAGCTGGAGAGCGGCGTTGATCAAAACGGATTCTTCCTGCTCCTGTCGATCGCAGCGCTGGACTCGGATCTCACCTAATATTTGAACACCTCTGTGTAATCAATAGCTGAGCAGCACGGCTTTGTACTTTTCATGTCTTTGAATTCGGGTCATTTGTTGCAGCAGCTACTCTCTCCTCACAGTACCACACTTCCTGTTTCATCCAAAACGAACAACACGGCAGGACGTGTTGCGCATTTATCAGCTGGAAATAGGAATTAAACCTCAATATCCTCTGTGTTAAATTCATAAATCACTTTTATTCCTTATTGTTTTCATTCAAAGTTGCTTAGAATATCAGCTGAACAATGGGTGAAGCAGTTTGGTTTTTGATGCTTGCTTCACTTTGAAGTGAAAAAGAAAAAATGTAGATAGAAAAGCAAACATTTCAGACAGCTTTTTGGCTTTTTTTGAAGTTTTACAGTAAACCCAGTAATGAGAGCAGAAACACTGAAGGATGGAGGATCTGAAACAAACTGTGTTGCTTTAAGAAAATGTGAAAAGCGGCTTATTAAGCTCATAATTGTGTGTTTTGATAGTGGAAACAAGTGGAAGTGTTCATAAATGGTTTCTGTGGTCCATAGCAGGGGTTTCTGTTAATTCAGCAAAAGAAATGCTGGTGAATTTCAACCTAAAGCTGCAGTTTCTGAGAGAAAAAAGCTAATTCAGTTATAAAATATGCAGACATTTAGAGGTCTGTGGTTTCTGTGACAGCTAATGCCAATTGATAGTAAAAAAATCAGAGCGTTTATGTTTTATTTTATAAGCTTTAAGAAAAAAACTTAGTTTATTGCATTTGAGACTTGGATTGTGTGAAAGAAAATCAACTTTCCTGTGTTTTAATCTAAAAACGTGCCAACAGAGATTAAACCGAGGCACACTCATTAAGTTTTCAGCCTAATTTTCACTATACGTCTCCTGCAGTGTTTTATGAACAGGCCTGAATATTTCATGACTCATTACAAGATCGTGTCTAAATTTGCAGCAGGTCCAAATTCATTTTGTCAAAACAGATTGAATTATTGGAGAAGATAACATGGGCTCATTACTGGGGCTTAAAGCCTTTTTTGGTGTAAAGATGGTATTTGAGAGGAAATATTTACTTTATTATAAATTCAGTTTTTGCTGTCAAACAGATTCTAAGTGAAGTGAAGCTTGTTAATTTGTAGCAGCTACAACAGATACAAGTAATTAGAAAAATGCAGCATAACTCTGACCACTAGATGGCAGAGTTCTTCCAGTATGATCCGTAATCCTCTACGTGTTGAATATGCATCAACAGGCATTGGTTGTATACTTATTCCATCTTGGTTGTATTGTGGTTTGACACAAATTTGTAACAGTTGAGCTGCATTTAGTTGTGACTAATTGTTGCTTTTATGCTTTAAATATAACATAATATTAGAGGATATTACCCTCGACATTTGCCTGACTTAATTATATCCAAAAACTCATAGAAGACGAGGTGAATTATGTCTCATCTATTTTTTCATTATAAAATCAGCTCATATGAACAGAGATGAAGAGATAAGGTGATTGGTACTCGACAGCAAATTTGAAACGGAGACATAACGTTTACTTTTTACTTTTTAAGCTAAAAAAGGAAAGTATCAGAGCTCAAATTACTTAAAAGAAACCTGAAATAAACCAACATTAAATACATTTTTCCTTTTCACCAACACTTAATTTCTCTCACCCACGCTAGACTCATTGCTCATTTGCACATAACTTCAGAAACATGTTGGCACTCAGAAAAAAAGAATAAAAAAAATCACAAAAAGCACAATGTGGACCCTTATTCCTGCAGGAGAACAAACACGGCATAACAATACCCGGCTGGTATTATTATTTATCCTTCACGTCGCAGCTTTTAAAAATAGAAAGAGCCTCGGAAAGTTCTGGCAAAGCTTCTCCTTCAGTGCAGGTGTTTTGGAGGGGATAAGAGGCTTTTTTAGGGTTTATAAGCTGTGGCTAAATGCTTCTTTTTTAAAACGCAAAAATATAGCTGCTCATAAATGTTTGTTTACCTTCTTGGCTCATTCGTTGAGTTAACGCCACCCATGCGATGTCTGTGTCTGTTGCGTAACCTGAATGTGTAAAATCATCCGGTTAATGAAGAAAGTCTGTTAAAAACGAAACAATCCTTCATTTTTTTCAGCGTCTGGCTGCGGTCCAACATCTGAGAGGAAAACACCAGATTAGCTGGAGCAGTCATGACTCTGCAGGAAGAGAGATTACAATAAGCTTTCCTGGAAATAAGGGGAACCTGCGAAAACACTGCTTTTTGTCTTTTTACAAAATGAGACATAGATTTAAGGTGCAGGAGAAAAAAAACGAGACAACAAAAGACGGGGAGCCTCTTTAAAAGGTACAGTAATACTGCTGAAAGGCTGAAAGGAAGCAATGCATTCGAAATGAAGGGTTTTCAGGCGCTGCAGTTGAATAAGATCATCCCCAGTTGTTCCTCTGAGCTTTCCTGACTTACTTTCAAATCAAATTATTTATCCTGCAGCCTCATCAGGGCACCTAAAGGAGGGAAAGTAGAGCCAGGTTGGAGGTATTGTGCAAAAGCCCTGTGGAGTGTTCAGTAATTTATTGGAGCCGATTTTCCTGTGAAATGAAATAGTTTTTCTTCTTTTCTGCCTTGAAAAATAACAGGAAGTAATAATGTGGGACTCTCAAGATGGCTGCCGCTGTACACAAACGAATAAACTATGATTGACGCACAACTGCAAAGCAAATTAAAAATGAGCAAATAAACTTACTCTGACTTATTATTATACTAAACCAAACTGAATTATATCAATTTAACATTTTAATAAATAATGAAAATATAAGATTCATAAGAATTAACCATAAAATAAAGGAAATTTTTAAACTTGTGGTTAAAAATGCATGTACTGTACATTGCATTTTAGACTTATTCCCAATATTATGCAGCGTTAAATAATAATCCAATAAATTAGGAGGTAGTTTAGTCATTACAAACACATGATAATTTGAGTCATTATTTCATAAATTCAACATTAAAACAGGTTTTTATCTCTTTCTATTTTGTTTGCGCAAACATTTATATTTATAAACATTTATATTTATTTATTTTCGTATGCAAAAAATATTACATTTGGTCAGTTTTCATGCTGACCAAACCGTACAAACAGTACAGGCTTGAATCGGTAAACATTTTATAGATTTGATAGAAAATGTTTATTTCAGTAGTTAAAGACTTAAAAAAAAAAAAGATTTGTGAACTTCGTTGAGGCTAACATGCTAAGTATCCGACAATATTATGCTGTAGTTCCTCTATTTTAGCTTTTACTGTGCTAATCTCCTTTAGCCTTTATTTTACTAAACATATTTATCTTTTTCACAGCAAGTAAAGTCTAAGTTTTATATTTCAAGTTTTTTCTCTTCACATTAAATATTTGGTTTGCTGTTAATGAGTGATATCTAGCAAAAAGTCTAGGATCTTTAGGATTTAAGGCTACATGCTAAGCTAACCGCGTCCTAGCATGTTTAAAGTTACTCACATGACATTAAACTTGAACCACAACTTATTCAACCATGGTCCACTTTCCCAGTAAACTACTTTAGCCTCATTAAAAGATAACACAGTGGCAGTCTGGTGGTGTTGTACCTGCAAAAATAAATATTAATAGTGGTCATTAATTTCAAATTTAGAGATTGACTGGAGTCATTATTTCCAAACCTTGACAGTCTGGGGTGAGCTGGATAATTAATGTGAATGTTTTGACACATTCGTACTCAGCAGCTCCAACGGTGCGTATTAAGCGAGAGGAGACATATGATAATATCAGCTCAGTATAATCCTCATATATATGATAATTACACCTGGCTTTACAACATGCGTCGCCTCATTTTCATGGTCGCAGCTGTAAATGATTCTCAGCACGATTAAAACTCATTTCATGGAGATAGTTTGATTTTTTTTTTTCAACACCACACCTGGAAAAACGGCACAAAAACACAGATAATAGCTGCTGAATATAGTTAAAATCTCCCTGCAGCTGTAATTGATGCAGATATTTTTTCTTGGTTATTTACAGCCTTACCAAGTGCAGCAGAGTTTAATTAATTGCTCTAAATTTTCATTCAGTGCCCTGTTTTTCATTTTTCATTTGCTTTATTTTCTTGAAGGTTTTTGTTATTTGAAATAATTTCCCATGTGACATGTAGCTGTTAAGACAATTTTATTTCAAAATCATAACTCATAACCAAGGGATACCAAGCTGTGTTTGGTTAGGAGTCAACTTTCAGGCTCCCTAATGAGTCTAAAACCAATGTTTACTCTTCGTTTAGCTCATCTTTTTCATCTTTACTCTTGCTCTGCTGCTGCTATTTGCTGAAATATATTTTCACCATTTGAATAGCTTTCAAATGGTGGTTCTTGGTTTTCCTAGAACTGATGTTATTCCTGAGAGCGATGAAACTATCCCAAATGTTTTGTAATCCATCTGCTACATTTTATTGCAGTAATTCTGCAGAAAAGTTCAACTGAAAAAGAGGAGGATAAAACAATTCAAGAACCTTCCCATCCTAATACTTTATTAATTCACTTTTGATTAAATCTCACCACACTCTGGCTTTCTCTTTCTTTTTTTTCTTATGTAAACACTTGGCAGTACATACGCTCATGTACATACTGTTCTACTCATTCTTTATTTCCTCTAAAGTTCACTTAAAACTGAAGTCAGATTCTGTTTGTGCTCAGAATCATGGCCAATAAAACTGATTCTGATTCTAATGACACTTCTAAGACAAATTAGGAAATAAATAAGTCAAAGTTGTAAAGAAAACACAGAGCTGCCACAGCTAACAGGCGGCAACAGAAAAAAAAAGGGGGAGGAGCTGTCAGTTACTGGTTACTATGGTAACCACCAACTGCCAAACGAAGCAGCGCAACAGGACTTAAAACACCAACAAATGTCTGAAGAAACAACTTTTTGACTTAACAAAATGGATTAAAATAAAACCTCAAGAAAGGACGGACCCATGTGTTTTGGTGTTTTGCTAGCTAACCGTTTAAATTATTACTATATGATTAAACAGTCATTGGTAAAAGGACTTTCTAAGTAGAGATAAAACTTTACAGATTAGTATTACTATGAACCATTTAAAATCTACATTTAGAAAATATCTGTTGCTTAGAGAGAGAGAGAGACATTATGATGAATCAGTGTTGCTACAGCAACATGCTTTTACTCTGAAAAGTTTCTTTGTTTTTACTTTATTGCCTTTTGGTTAATTGTTCTGTATTCAGATTCGGGAGCGATTCCAATAGTTTGATTCATAATCCAGATGTTTTCCACATATTGATTGCATCCATCATTTACACACATTGGGCATCATTCCTCAGCACAACTCAGACTTTATTCTGTTTTATTTTAATCATTTTTTATGTGATTTTTAAAAAAACAGTATTTATTGAAGTGACCATAATTTGGCTTGTGTTGGTAGGAATGACTCAGTTATACCCCAAAGCTATTTCTTAAAAAAAAAAGGTTTGAAAAGGAAAAATAAAACAACAAAACAGAATAGATAACATCAAATAAAATACCAAAAATTAATAAATATGACCTAAAACTGACCCTATGTAGAGGGCTAGTATGAACACACATTAAAGTAAAAAATAAAAATAATAGAAAAAGAAATCTAAATAAAGATATTTATATAAATAATATTTTATGTTTATACTTTGTTATGTTTATCTATGATAACAGTAAGAATAGAAAATTATATAATTTTAAAAATAATTAAATAAAAATAAATGCATTGATTTTGCCAATATTTCTAGACAAATATTTTTACTTTAATTAAATAAGCAAGAGGCATCTACTGTTAGTATGAAACTAACAAACAATCATTCTTGTGAATATTTTCCAAATTATCACATAATTGGCCTTAATTAAAGTATTAGATACTTCGATCCAATAACTTTTAGAGAAATCTATGGAAGAAGATTAGGACCAAAAAAGAAGAGGATTCTGACTTTTGATCTCAGGAGATTAAAGTCAAAATTCTGAGAAAAATGTCAAAATTATTATTTTTTCCAGTGTCCCTAATCCTCTTCCTTAGAAACCAGAACTCAGCAACAAATGTAGAGTTAAGAAAACAAACAAAGAAAGTTTGTTTTACAGAAACAACTCCAGGGCAGAAGTGTTTCTGAGCAGCACAGAAATGTCATGTTGTTTCACTCAGAGGAGACAGCGGGTCGATCCTCCTGACTGACATCTGCGGCTGACAGGTGGGCCGGCTGTAAATCATCACAAACTCTCTCTGGTCTGAGATCAAACTGACCCGCTCGGCCTCGTTTCCTGCCACCCCTCCTTCAGCTGCGGCGGAGAGGAAGAGGAAGAGAAACTCGCTGACTTGTACACAAACTCTGCATGAATTAAACATGGAGACAATCCCAGGAACTCTGAGAAGATACACAAACAAGACGGAGAGCGGCGAAAACGAAGGAAGTCAAAATAAGGGTTTGACACCCGGCCCATCCTCTGGGTCGTCCAGAACATTAAAAAAAAAAAAACGAAACCGCAAATCTCCGCTCTGAGATCTAGGAGGTCGAATTTACAGCCTCCGAATCTGACGAAAACTCTTTAAAATTCACTACGACGACGCTGCGGTGTCGTAAACCATTCCCTCAGGTTTCAAACAAACAGACGAATAAAGCAGATGGATCTTATCATCACTGCATCATGGCGTGTGTCACAGCCGAGGTGAGTAAACTGCGCCCACGCCGCAACCGCTTTATCATAAATAATCCCAGCAGACACAAATATCACTTATTCAGAAAAAAACATGTCTGGTCTAGTGAATTAAAATCATTCCTTCAGCAGAAAACAGGTAAAAGGTGAATTTAATTACAAGGCAGAAGGTTTGAGTGACCCAGTTCTGAAGAGAAACTCCCTCACATGCTGGTATTTTCTAACCAAATCCTGGCAGGAAGCCTGAATCAGTGGGAGTTCAGGACAGAAAAAACCCGGCCTCAGCCTACAAATACAGAAAAAAGTCAACACATAGGTAAAATCCACAAGTATTCTGACCCATCCGCAAGCAAACCCCCCCCCCCGTCTTCCAGTAGGTGAGCATCTAAATCTGTGACGCAAGAGGAGGATCTGAAAAGTCACAGTTTCCCTGCAGCATCCTCTGCAAACCCTCCTCCGCCGGCTGGCAGGCTGTTTCCTAGCTACCTGACTCAGACGAGGCTCTGCTTCTCACATTTACTGCGTTACCTTCAAGAAGCGAAGCGACTGAAATTATTTTCCTCAAACGGCAAGAAAATCTTACAAAAGGACGATTATAACTTGTTTTCCCTTTCTGTTAACCTCATAAGCCTCACAGTTTGTATTTGAAATAACATACCTGAATCTAATTTAGTTTTTCTCACCAATTACAAACCGTATTTCAATAGTGGAACAGAAAATAATTTGGATGTTTTTGTGCCTCGCATTAGAAATAACCATATATCTCTATTACTATACAGAGATTGATGCAGCTGAGGTAAACTAAACCAAATTTACAGAAGTTTTAGTAAATAAATATCCAGTTATTTTGCCATTGGGATAAGTTGCCACCATCTAAAAAACTGGGGATTGTATGTGTTTTTTATTTAACAAATTAAAATTATTTTTAGATGTCAAAAATTGCTTGTTTTTGATATATGCAACCCCTTCTATGTTTGTCTCAGGTCCAGTAGGTTGACTTTACAACAATCACATTCAGGTTCACTGCATTTATTCTAACAAAAGAGCAAATCAAGTTGGTGGTTATCATCAGTCCAGCAGCTTCTGCCTCTAAACATTAAATAAAATTCAACAAATAAACATAAACAAACTACAAAGCATTATTAACTCCCAATGATCAGTTGGCAGCACTTAACATTTGTAAAATTAAACGTAGCTAAAATGGACAATATTAATAATAACAGTTAAAAACATATACAAAACATAGCGCAATTACTAATGCAACATGTATATTATTAAATTTGATTGGTCCACAGTTACCGACGGCAACAGAAAAAGGGGGAGGAGCTGTCGGTTACTGGTTACTATGGTGACCACCAACTGCCAAGAGCAGCTTAACAGAACTTAATACACCAATAAATATAATAAATAATAATAATTATTATTATTATTAATAAATATAATTCTTTTATCCAATTCAAGTTGTCTATGTTACTGTACGTTGTTCCCTTTAAAATAATCTTAGTAGATAAATAACTATTTAAACTCATTGACAGACAACCTTAAAGCTATTACATCCGTTCGCAGTAGTAAACCGAAATTGAAATAAAATATGCTTAACTGTAGCTAAGAATTGTAGAAACACAGAATTTTACAAAGTAATTTTGGTCTAGTTTCTGTTAGTACATTGAAATAAAACAAAACTAAAAAAGTAACTTTTCAGTACTATATAGGAACTTGTTTTAAGTCAATAACTATTTAATAATGATGGATTGGCAGATCAATTCACTTATAACAAGACACGTTTCCCTTGTTATAAGTGAATTTATCTGCTAGTATTTTTTTGTCAATATTAAGTAATTATTTACTTAAAACAAGCTCCCATATCTTCTTGAAAATGTACTTTTAAGTTAACGTTGTCTTTTTTCAAATGTACTAAAAACCTAGACCAGCAACACTTGGTGAGATTTTGTGTTTTTGCAGATGAAAGCAAATAAAGCTACGATTCTGAACTCGGATTGATTTCTCTTCGTCGGTTTGGTAACTAACACATCTGCTCTGTGATCGTCTCGTTTTGTCGTAGTTCTGTTCAGCTAATTTGGGCTGAAAGCAGAGGAAAGGGGTCGGCGGCGTGAGGCGGTCTGGGTCATTGCTGACATGAGCGATCATCATTCCCTGTTTAACCTGTAGCTTCAGACAGACAGCGGCCGTATCAGTGCCATCCCACCAGACACCTGCAGTAAAAGGTGACAGAGGTCGAAGGAGGGGTCGCGTTTTTACCGAAGGATCCAGAACCCGACTGACACTCTGATCCGTCACCCGCGGCCCTCTGGTGACAGGATGTGACAGACGGAGATGGCGTCCTGATCTGGAGCTCTGACCCGGGTTCTGGAGCGGCCGCCGGCCTCCCCACGAGTCAGCACCAGCCGTCAACGCCCGCTGTCAGTCTGACGGATGAGACGGCTCGGCGTTGGGGGCAGACTGCTCGCACCGGCCACGCAGCAGAGCAGAGATGCAACAATCGCATTTCTCTAAAGCTATAAGGCTCTGCAGATTCTCATTGCTCTCTAAGAACTAAAATTAATATATTTTTTTCTCATTGCAGAGGTCGGAAGTTGGACTTCCTGTCTGCATGAATGAAGTGAAACCAAAGGAGTCCAATAATGAAATCACTCTTTAAACTGTTTTACCTTAGTTTGTTTGGACAATTAAAGTACAGATCAGATATATTAAAAAAACACAACCACCAACAAACAACACCAACAACCAACTACAACAAACAACAACTAACTACCAACAACTACTAACAACAACCATCAACAACAACCACAAAAGAACAACCAACAATAACTACTAAAAACCGTTAGCAACATCCAGCTACAAACAACAAAAACCTGCAACAGCAACCAAAAACTACCAACAAACAACAACCACCAACAACAATCAGTGCAGAAAGAGGCAACAAAGCCCAAGGGGCTTATATAAGGTCTCTGCCTAAAATAGCACCGGAAAAAACAACAACTAATCAATTAATCAATGAGGTTCATTTGTTTAGCCCATTTGAGCAGGAAGGTGATAGTAATACAATGCACTTGATCATAAATTTATGAAATACAATCATATAGAAAAGAAAACATAAACACATCTACAAAATACTAATAAAATTTAAATAAAATACGTAACAATGAAAAAAGAATTGGTCCCAATTCTTCAAGAACAGTTTTAAATAATGTCTACTAAAGAGCTTACTCTTTAGTAGACATTAAACAATATCACTTAAATTCTGTCTAAGTGATAATTCAACATAAATTGGTTTAATTGTGAATTTTGAAACAGATTTTAAAAAGCCAAAATAAGATTAGATTAATTCTTACTATAAATTCTCAGTTGGATTAAGGTTTGGACTTTAACAAGGCCATTCCAATCCTTGAATATACTTTAATCTAAGGAAAGTGAACCTATCCCGCAGTTTCTAACAGCTTTTATTTTACAAATCTTCTCATTATCTCTGTTAAGCTCCTATGTTACTGTTGAAGGCAAGCAGGCCCATGTCAAAACACCTTCTTCCATTTTTGCTGTGATTTGTAGCAAGCTGCAAACTTTATTTATTAAGTATTTTCAAACAAACTGCTAAACATTTACAAGAAGATAAAAAAAGATTGATTGATTGACATTACAGAGTTGTGGTTACTTAATTATTAACTAATCCAATGACGTCTGGCTGCAGAATATTTTATTTGGGGTGGCATGCATTTTGAATACAAAATGCATGCCACACTTTTCAGATTTTAATGTCATGCAACTCTACATTAATTCCCTGTTAGTCATAAACTCCTATAAATGTCGAAGCTAACAGATTACAGCCCGGCCTCCCTCTCATTGATCCATTGTGGTATTTAATAACTTTGAATCTTTGAAAAACAGAACATTAATAAAACTATAAAGGTCAATTATTAATCTTGTGCAGAAAAAGTTTATATATGTGGATTAATATTCCACTTTTGTCCTCCATGTTAGGATGCTTGTATGATGATAAAGTCCCGTCGGGGTTCAGGTGAAGCCCGACTCTAAGCGTCTTGTCTCTCCTTTAACTTGCCACCCATCGTGGATTTATCTCCTTTCAAACAGACCGCAAGCCGCGCGTTTCAGCACTGCAAAGTCACGCAAGGGCGGCTGTCAGAGGAGAAACATGGAGTCGGTACTTTCTGACTTCAGGTTTCAAAGAGCGATATAATGCCAAATAATTTACCTCTCGCTCTGCTATGCTAATCTGACATTTGATACCGACTTTTTCTGGATTCCTCCGTGGAAAGCAAGCTCAGCTAATTCGCCTCCAGGGACAGGTTGGCGAGGCGAAGGGAGGGCGGGCCTGACGCCATCCAGCCTTCCTGAGTGTAATTACAGCGCCGCCGCTCATCCTCTCTGACAGCGCGTTGTTCAGACTGTCTGCTCCCTCTTCTTCCTCCACCATGTGAAGAACGACGCGAGTTCAGGAGGTAGAGGTTGTTTCCTAATTCCTGCAAATTAACTGAGGATTTGCTCAAAATCCCCGGCTTCGTTGGTGGATCTAGAAGTTAAGTTGGAGTTGACCAAACTTGGCGAAGGAGTCGCTGGGTTTGAACAAACGTATCATGACATAAACATTTCACATCAGTTGTCTTTTGTTTTAAATATATGAAATACTACCTTTGCTTTCTTTTAGCTACAGTTTTTTGTTGTTTATTTTTAAGCATTTATGAGACATACTTGCCAAAACTTTAAACCGCTGCTACGCCAGTTACTCAACAAGTTGTTGCTAGGTAACCAAAGAATCTCTGAGTGAGCTGTTGCTAGGTAACCAGAGAGTGAATGAGTTAGTTGATGCCACTAACTTTGCTTAGCTAGCTGTGAGAAATCTATTGATTTGATTTATTGCCCAACTAATACACTGAAAAAACACAAAATCTTTCCAAGTATGTTTGGTCTAGTTTCTAGTGCAAATAAATTAGTACAAGACTAAAATAACTGAGAAGTAACTTTTTAGCAAAGAACTACAAATGTGTTTTAAGTCAATAATTCCTTAAAATTGATTAAAAAGTATTAGTTATAAGTCAAATATAATATAAGTTGTAATATGAGAAAATGTCTTGTTCCATTGGCAGATTATTTCACTTATAACTAATACTTTTTCATCAACACTAAGGAATTATTTTCTTAAAACAAGCTCATATATCTTGCTGAAAAGTTACTTGTAAGTTAGCTTTGTCTTATTTCAAGTGTACTAAGATATTTGAACTGGACCGACCAAAAATACTTGGTAAGATTTTGTAGTTTTGCAGTGTATTAGGGCCAAACAAAAAATCAACAGCAACATATGTCATGATAGACATGTGATCAATATCAATATCAATAGATAATGTCTCTCCAGACATTAGAAAACCTGGATCTACCCCTTAGAAAAATTATAAAACATGATTTTTTTATTAAACACATTGTAAAAATATCATTCAACGACTCAGTTTACATACTTTTAAAATTTTTAAATACATTTATAAGGGGAAAAAATCAACATGTTTCACTACAGTGAAGACTTTGACTCGCTACAGCAAGTCTTGTTATAAACACAGAGCCAAAGTAACGTCGTAAAGTTCAACCATGAGAAACAGAAGTCAGTTCTGACAGGTTAATATGTTCTTATTTTACATCACAGCGGCCCCTTGTTGATTACTGCGACCCCTCCGTTAATAATATCCACCAACCCTGAGGCTAATATCTGTTAACACTTGTCCTACACTGAAAATGATACTAAACATAATTACTTTTATGTAAAAATGACAGAAGCTCCTACAGACATTTGCTCGACGTCTTCATATTGCATCCAACGAATGAAATAGTGAGTTGATTGAACAACATTGAACTGACTCTTGGATATTATTTTCAGATTTGGACACT